GTGAGGATAAAGAACAAACTGAAAAAGTTTATAAATCTACTATGTTCCGCCTTTATTAAAGCTTTCTCATAATGTGTAAATCGTGTGTTTATGTGTACCATGTTTCTACTTTCTATATGTGGGATTCAAATGATAATGTATGTTCATTTGTGTGTGCGTGTGTGTCTAGTAGTTTGTTTTTTTTTAAATTTATTTATGTATGTTGCCCGCGTCTTAATTTGGGGACGTTTTTATGTAACACCGTTTTTAGTGGTGGAAGTTGTAGATAGACATATATTGTTGCAGTATGGATTTTATAAAAGTTGATGATGTAATATATTGTGTTTGACGTGTGTATATAAATGGTAGAATGTTTATCAGAACTCCCGCGAAGTATTACTTACATAATTATATTCTTTATTAGGGTGGCAGTTATAAAATTTAATTTATGGCCAGTTTTGTGAATAACGAATTTTGTGTTTTTGATATAAGGTGTGTCGTCACAAAAAAGAACATAATCAAAAATGCCTACCACACACACACACACACACACACACACACATACAAACACACACACATACACACAGAGACACACACAGACACACGCACACAAACTCTAACACACACACTCTAATGCACAAACACACGCACACAAACAAATATACATTATCATCTAAATTTCGCATAGACAAGCTAAAATCACATTACAATTGCACACATACGAACAATGCTTGAGAAGACAAATGCATGTGAAGTTTTCTTAACCAATGCAAAAAAAAAAACACAAAATTTTCTCCATATTTCATTCTGTGATGAAGCTTAAATGCCTCCACACAACTCTCCCAGAAATATGTCCCACATAGTCCAACAAGACATTACGTCCCACAAGACAGTGGCAATGGTGTGTTCATCTACTTAATGTCTTCCCATTATGCGGGCGGTATCTCTGTCGCACCCTATATATATATATATATATATATATATAGCGACTGTCGCACCTTATATATATATATATATATATATATAGCGACTGTCGCACCTATATATATATATATATATATATATATATATATATATATAGTGCGACTGTCGCACTCTCTCTCTCTCTCTCTCTCTCTCTCATATATATATATATATATATATATATATATATATAATGCGACAGAGATACCATATATATATATATATGGTGCGACAGAAATACCACCTACATAATGGTAAGACATTAAGTATATATATAAATTTTCCATGCCTTTTTCTTCCTTAGGTTTGAACTAAAATTTTATAAAAAATTGCCAAATAACTCAGTAATCTCCCTTTATGATTAATATAAAATTACTTTAGAATATCCCGTCTATTTTAAATGCTAAATATTATTTGAAATGTAAAACAAATTGTAATCCCCTGATTATATGGTCTGTGCCAACATTACATTCACCAGGTACTTTTATTAAAGTTTAAACTGCGTAATTTAAATTAGTGAGTTTATACTCAGCACCTGTAGATTGCGTTGTGCATGAAACTCCGAGTGGTGCTATGGGCAAAGGGTACTATGTATATTTATTAATATATACTTAATAGCTTTGTTATATTATATCGAGCATATTATGTGCGTGTGTTTGTTTGTGTGTGTGTGCGTAAATTATTTTCAGATTGAGTGTATCTGTAAAAGAACAAAATGAATAAATAGACAAGAGGAAAAATTGTTCCTACCCGACGCATTTCATCCTATGAGGGACAGTTGCTTTGATAAAGTCCCCCAGAAGACGATACGCGTTGGGTAAGAATAATACTTCTTGTCTTTTTTTTTCATATATATATATATATATATATATATATATATATATATATATGTGTGTGTGTGTGTGTGTGTGTGTGTGTATGTCATATGCGGCATTATTTCTTATTACTATAGACGTTATGTTTAGTGTGTATACGAGTAAACGTATATGAATAAGGAATAGATTCAAAGGGTCCAAACGGAAAGGTGTCCATACATTGATAGGCAATTAAGCCATGCTTTGCCATGACTGTTTCCGGTGACCTAATTGATAAGCACACACGTTAGCTATAAATGGAAATACACCCTCGATTCATGCCAGGTGGCATATTTTCCATTCGCATCAATTTTCAATCTCGATGCATACACTAAAAATGGCGTTTAGAATAAGACACACACACACACACACACACACACATATATATATATATATATATATATATATATATATATATATATATATATATACATATCAGCGGCTCCTATTGCTATTAAGCATTACCCTTCAAGTAAATTGGATTTCTCCGAGCCGGTGGCGTATTTCGTTTAGAGAAAAATCTTAAAATTCTCTACCTTTCTGTCGTGCGACGATGGCCTAGAGGTAAGATATCTGACTAATGTCAAATCAGCCAGATATCTTGAAGCAATCAGACGCCTAGCAACACTGAGGTGCTGTGATACAACGAAACAGTTTGTCTGTGGATACTATATATATATATGAAGAAATATTGTCTTAAGATGTGCTATATTTATGGGATAAAGTGCTCAATATCAGAGATAGAGCGTGTGTAAATATAAAAGTGAACATTGAAGTCAACACTTAGAGGCGACAGTCTGTTTCGTGGCCTGAGGATTGCATCTAGTATGAAACAGACTGTCGCGTCCAAGTGTTGACTTCTATGTTCACTTATATATATATATATATATATATATATATATATATATATATATCAATAATAATAATCTTATAAATATAAGTATACTTAGGTGTATTGGCTTGTAAATGAACAAACCAATACCCAAGGGAAAATAAGAAATAAAAAAGAAAGAAATATGTAATTTTGTTGAAAACAATCGTCCAGAATCCAAGCTCAGAGTCCAAAGAAAAAAACTCCGATACGAGTAAAGTAAAAATAACTAAGCAAAATGCTCAATACCCTAAGTAGAGCAAATCTAACTAGGAACCTAAAGAGCCAGGCAAACCTACCTAGATTTGCCTGGCTCTTTACGTTCGTAGTTATATATATATATATATATATATATATATACACGCACGCGGGAGAATTTATAAGCCCATATCGCCAAAAACTGATACTGGTAATAATAAGAAACTGGCAGTAGTAGCTAGTTAGATTCAGTTGTTTGCGTTATATATATATATATATATATATATATATATATAGTCCGGTAAAAAAAAATGTATACACACTTCAGGAAAGGAAAAACTTGTCTTCCTTAGTTTTACCTATGGGGGACCTTCGATGATGTGGTGCATCGCAGAAAACAGTCTACATTTGCGGTCCTTAGACAAGAAATTGAAAATGAATGTCCAGCAATCCCAGTGGACCCTCTCGCTAACGTTGCCCAAACAGTACTTTGGCATACTAATAAATATCTGCAGCTAAAGTCATCCATTTTCAGCAACTGATTGTAGAGTCAAAGTGTAACTTGTATTAGTCTCGTGATATCTGAATAAATTTAGTATTACAAGAGTTTTCATTTCCTGAAGTACTCATTTTTGGTGGACACACACACACACACACACACACACACACACACACACACACACACACATATATATATATATATATATATATATATATTGGGGTGGAATAGTGGCTCAGATTGATGAATCGGAGAGCCAAGTTAGAATTCCAGTCGAATCCATGCTGTGCTAATATCCTTGGGAAAGGTATTAATTCTCTGCTTCACCCTCCAGCTATTGGTAAATAGCAGGACAGAATGGGTTCTATAGCCTTTGATAGAGAAGGATAAATCTGAACTCAAAATTTGGGATCCTTGTGGCACCAGGTCTCTGTATTTGGCCCTTCGAAAAGTGTGATTGGTTTTGCACAAAGAACTCACCACTATAATTACAGAGTTTCATTATACCATTATATTCATATGTACTGTAATTATTTTTATTTATTAAAAATATTTTTCTCAAATTGATTAACAAGAGAACGTAAATAATGAATCATTTTTTTAACAATTAAGAAATATATCGCGAAAAAACACCTCTTATTAAAGCCAATGTTTCATCAGCATTTAAACACATCTCTCCAAAATTTTCCCCGTTTGATTCTTTGTTAAAAATTAAGTGAAATGTATCCGTCGCGTATGACGATCGGATTGTCTTATGTCCTACAAAAATTCACGAAGAATAACAATTCATGACTACTTATCAACACAAGTGTAAAACTCAGTGATAACTTGCTAATGATAGCCGAACGCGTTAAAAACAGTTGACAATTTATGTTCAAATTTTCCTTGAAAAGCAGAAAAATAGTCCGAATCATAAAAGGTCTTAAAAACTTACGTTGGTCTTCAACTAAACCTTCATATATATATATATATATATATATATATATATATATATATATATATATATATATATATATATATATATATGAAATATAAGAAGGCATTTTTAAAAGCAAAAAGCCAAAATAAAACTACCGGTTTCGTCCCAGGACTTATCAAGTTATTTATTCTGGGAATTTAAAAGCGTGTAAATTAATTTTAATTAACGAATGTAATTAAATGGGGAGAGAGAAAAAAATATGAATTTCAAGAGACTAGAGTCCAATAATATTCAGACCCAGCAAGCATGCCCTCTGTTTACAAAGGGAAGGCTCACGGGATCTGATATACAAGGAGTCCAGGACCTTGAGGTGAAATGTAGAGTGGGACCTAGATAAAATTATAAATCGGTCACCACTAAAATTTTCCACACATTTCCTTCTATTTATTAAATGTTCAGCAATAGCAGAACCAGAACTGTTAGTCAATTGGCTATTCCTAGACGACGGATACAAAATCCTGGAGGGTAAATGCTGTTTTATTCTCGAATCCAAACACTGGGACGTCCTACCTATGTAGTCGTGTCCACAACGACACTTGTATTGGTAAATCACTGAATTAACATGATGGGGAGGTAGGACATCCTTACGAATGGAAGAGAAAGCAGGACGGGTACCAAATATTAGCCTAACATTTGCCGAAAAATAACAACTATTGA